AAAACAATTCCTAAGGAGGCTACAGTGGCCACCACTTTAGCCTCCATCACTTGCGGGTCCATACAGGACTGCGTGTCGTGATTCTGGGTCACCAGGGACCAGTTGGTGACCACCTCACATGCGGCCAACAGAGAGGGGGCAACTGGCCTGGGGGTGCATGGCATTGCACGGCGAACTAAGCCCTGTATGGTGAACTACTGGTGTGTAAACTTCTGATGCCAGGCAAGGAGCACCGCGAACAGCCACCCCATCTTCCTCCTGCTTGACCAACAGATCCTCAACGGCCACTGCGTTAAAAAGCTTCACATTCGGTGCCAGCAACGCCTTGCGTAGCACAGAGGACATGAAGAGAGCGGCATGCTTGACAACCACATAGTCACCCTGGTCGTCATAAGGGACCTCCAACTCGTCCAAGAACTCATTAGCAGGCTTGCGCACAACCATGGAGCTCATCAATTGCCCACCCAACCAGCAGCCACCACCGGGTGCCACATTTTGCTCAACGATGGCCACCTTCACATCTGGGTGCTTGGAAAGCTCATAGGCACACGACAACCCCGCGGAACCGGCCCCAACGATGCACCTGGGCTCACTTGTTGGTTGCTACACATGTCATCCTGTTCTCCGCTCAAGACAAACCACAACAGAAACTAAGAACTACAATAACCCCCTAAACCAAATATAACCCCAATATAACCCCTATATAAAATAGTAGTTTCTATTTTATGTTCCATTATCCCAATATAACCCTTATAGACTGTAGTAGTTTCCATTCTATTTTCCATTCTCCCAAAATAGCCCTTATATACTATAGTAGTTTCCATTTTATTTTCCATTATCCCAATATAGCCTCTATAGAGTCTATCTACTTAAGGGGGACTCCTAAACCCTATAAACCCTAAACCCTAAACCCTAAATCCTTAACCCTAAACCCCATATTCTATCTACTTAAGGAGGACTACTATGCTTGAAAGGCACACGTCCGTCTCAGCGTAGTCGATCATTTCACTCATGTAGCGCCTCGTCATCTCGCGGCTCACAGTGCTCTCACCTGAATAGGATTTAGGGTTCAGGGTTTAGGGTTTAGGGTTCGGGGTTTAGGGTTTAGGGTTTCGGGTTTAGGGTTCAGGGTTTAGGGTTTAGACCCATGATTAATACACCCCCCCTCTTTTAAGGGCCTAAATATTAGGATCCCTATTCTAATCCCTATTAAGGGGAGGGTGTTTATTAATCAGGGGTTGGGTTTAGGGTTTAGGGTTAGTATCCCCCTATAATGGAGAATCTAATAGAAAAGAAAATGGAAAATGAGATGGAAACAGGGGGAATATAGGGATTTAAGGAACTTAATTTAAGTTACTCTATTGGGGGAAGCCATATTCACTACTATATATATACCCATTAAGGTAACTTAGCTTAAGTTCCTTAACGGCAACCCAGCCACGGATTGGCGTGAACTGCATAGCATCGAACTGCGCCAGCTTGCTTGCAACATAGGCAGCCGGATCCGAAGGCGTGGCGGAGACAAGCGCAGACTTTGCGCGTGCGAAGGGGAGGCGCAAAAGGCTGGTGCTCCTGCGCATGAACATTGCCAAGGAGGTTAGGCGGCCAAGTCCCTTCGCAGGAACTACCCTGATCAGGTTCGAACGGTTATCTCAGCGGAGCTACAAGAGCTCGCACCCGCAAGGCCTACCTGGAGTCAAAATGCTTCGGAAAACAGTTCGACATCCGGTGCTGACCATCCTCATGTGTGCCAAGCAGGTAATCACTACTTAGGTTGCGCCCCCCATCAACTAATAGTGACAACAAGAGGTAATGGTGACTGTATCAGGGTCCCTATTTCTTCCCAGCATGCCAATATTGGTGGATGGGGGCCCAACCCTAAACCCTAAACCCAATTACTAAACCCCAAACCCTAAACCCTAAGTAGTAGTTTCCATTTTATTTTCCATTATCTATATAACCCCAATATTATCCCAATGGCTACAAGGTAGCACACAGTGACAACTTGCAAGCTCAAGGATCAAGCGCCGACTGCATCTGCAGGCCTGTAGCAGGCTGTAGCAGTTGCTTTAGGGTTTAGGGTTGCTTAGGGCTTAGGGTTTAGGGTTTAGGGTTGCTTAGGGCTTAGGGTTACATAGGAGCAATGGAAAAGAAAATGGAAGCTGCCAGTCAGGGTTTCAGGGTTGACGGTTTAAGGGTTCTCCTTCGGTAGACCCCCACCCAGTAATGGTGACTATCAGGGATAATAATGCTTATATTCGCGTCCTCTTCTATTCCTACTATACCAATGTTACAGGATGGGGGCTCCTCCTCAAATACCCTAAACCCTAAACCCTACTCTTCCGCTCTGCTACAAGGCAACAGGTTGCCTGGCAGAGGAAATGCCACGCTGCGTCAAGATGTTCAGGCTTCTCCTGCAAGCTGGTTAGCCACGGCTCAGTTGGCAATTAAATGGGGACCCCAAAACAAAACAAAATACTATAATCCTTGTGCTGGGGACCCCAAAAATCAAAACCGGTTTGGGAAACCAATGTCCCGATATGTTAATATCTCATGTGCATGTATATATATATATGCGCGCATATGTATATATATATATATATGTTTACTCAATTGTCTATTTGTCCCTATATACTCGTCCAAGACCCCATATAACCCCTGTATCCCCTGTAAAGGTATCAGTTTTTTGGGGAAAGCCCATATGAGTTATAGTCTGAAGTCCTAGTATCCCCCATATAACCTAGAATACTCCCATAATACAACCCACTACATAACCCCGGTTGAAGCAGCTTAGAACCCTAAACCCTAATCTCTATGTATATATCTATATCTATATATACATATATATATACACCCCTATCTAACCCCCTATAAGGAGTCTAGATTATAGCTCGTGTGGGAGTTTCGGGTGAACTCCTCCAAGCAAAAGCCGAAGCACAAGCGTTGATCACCGCACTTCCTCATCTCAAATCAAGGGCTCTTAGGAAGGGGTTAAGGTTGTTTTAAGGCTTAAGGGTTTAGGGTTTAGGGTTTAGGGTTTGGGGTTTAGGGTTTAGGGTTTGGGGTTCAGGGTTCAGGGTTTAAGGCTGTAGGTGGCACCCTGGACCCTATCTAATCAGGCAGTCTCCACATTACTACCCATCAGCTAGCAGGGGTTCCCACAAAGAGCCCTCTTAAAAAGCCACTAAATGAAACCCTCAAACCCTAAACGCTAAACCCTGAACAAAAAACCCTAAACCCTCCAGATTTAAAGGAGTTTCAGAGCAAATGTGAGATCTGGAGCAGGCAAGGCACTCTGTTGCTGCTCCAGGCTCACCCGGCCTCTCTTTTGGTTTGGGGTTAAGGTTTCGGGTTTAGGGTTCGGGGTTTAGGGTGCAGGGTTTCCGAGATTAAGGGTCCCTTTCTGGAGGCCGGTAAATTTATGTTGCATTTCAGCTGCCGCTGTTTTTTTCTGCCATTTGATTCCGCACTCCAACCCCACGCAATACCAAAATCAACCCGTCACTTCCTTAAAATTTTGGGGCGACGTATAACCCCTGTGATGCTGATATGAAACAACCCCACAACCCCCAGTATGAAACATTGGCCTTACAAAAAACGGGGGGGGGTGGGCGGGCATATCTAATACCCATAAACCCTTTAACCCTAAACCCTGCGAGTTCAATTTCCGGGGACTAACTAGGACGGCGGGCGGCCTACGCTGGCTCGCTGAAGCAACATCAGCGGCGTGGCCCACCTGGACTGCCGAGTCCAACTGTGGATACTTGGGTTCTATGAGCTATAGGGGGTTATATAGGGTGTAGGATATAGGTTTAGGGTTTAGGGTTTAGGATATAGGGTTTAGGATTTAGGGCTTAGGGTCTCAAAACTCTTAACAGTGCGTGGGTTCTATAGGAGATTATATAGGGGACTAAGAGGGATACTCGGATTTTAGACTCTAGGTTCTATAGCGGCTATATAGAGATGTATAGATGTATAGGGACAGTACCCCAATAATAGAAGGTTTTTAGGGCTGATACTTAAACCCTGCATGATCTTACTATAATATAATACGATCGTGGCATAGGATTTCTTGTATCCACCGTATGCCCTGGGAATCCGTAAGCGCAGTTGTCCAGCTAGGGCTTTCCCAACGTGACCGTTTCCCGGTGGTTGAACCCAGTAAGATTATATTCCTTATGTACAAATACTATACCCAAAAGGAGGAAATAATAATCTTTCCCCATAATGGGTACCATAGTATCCCCAAATGAAATACTACTCTGTTGGGTTTTACATTACCCAAAAAGGCTGAAGGCCGCCCTCTGGACAGGTAAGCATTCAACCCTAAACCCTAAACTTACCGTTGGTTAGCTAGGAGTCAAGGATGGACCCTTGTAGTAGTCCCTATATGTAACACGTGATAATAGTTTCAATGTTCTTTTCCATTCCTTCATTCCTAGCTTACCAAAGGTGAGTGAACCCTGTCTGAGGAGACGACTCTCCGCTTGATCCCTTGCATGCCACAACATCGAGTCCAAAGACAGCAGGTGTCACCATGTGTCACATGTATGGAGCTTCCCCAAAATGAGGGGTACCTTTTTTGAGAGTCCGCACAAAAAAGGCTATAACAGTTTGGTGGTCTATTTAGGAGTCCCCCTATTTTGGGAAACTACCCTTTACTGGGTTGCTTTTAAAGAGCTTAAATTGAATTACCATATCACGGGTCTATAGTTATTAACAGGGCTTCCTCACGATTATAAGCCCTAAACCCTAAATTCTAAGCCCTAAACCCGAAACCCTCAACCTTGTGAATTATAATAGCTTGGTGCCACTGAAGGTCCAACTTCATGAAGGCGGCTCCATAAGCAGGTGCATCCCATGGCTCCTCAATCAGCAACGTCATGGAGAGGTTCCTCGCGTTTGGGGTTCAAGGTTAAATGTTTTAGGTTTAGGGTTTCAGGTTTAGGGTGATTTAGGGTTTAAACCCCGGACCCGAAACCCTAAAACCCCAAACCCTAAACCGGTTGAGTTCTTGTTTAGGGTTTCAGGTTTAGGGTAGCTTGTAGGTTTGTCTGATTTTATCTAGCTGCAGTGACCCAAGTCAAGAAAGCTCAGTCTTCAAAGCAGTCCCCTATAACCCCCTCCCCCTTTTGGGTTTAGGGTTTAGCTCCTAGCTTGAATCATGAATCTCTTGAATCGGTATTGCTTTCAGTCGGGCAATTTAAGGCACATTCTCCGGTGGGAAATTCCCAGGCAGGTACCCTTACACAAGCCGTACAATGGACAATGGAATGGAAAAATGAAATACAGGATGACATGGAAACCACTAACTAGGTATAGCTATGTGAAAAAGGATTGGTTATATAATACATGGAAAGGATGCAAACTGCTATACACAGCGCTATATTGCTTGTGTACCTTTAACACCCTAACAACCCTAGACCTAAAAACCCTAAGCACAAACCAGAAGGCTTATAGAGGAATCATATGGGGAGGCCCCTAAAGCCTAAACCCGAAGCCCTAAGAGACTAGGCAGGAAAACAAGTCAAACAGGCCAGTAGTCTCTTTATCTGTTCCTATTAGGCATCCACAAAGAAGGTC